AAGAGCCGAAATAATTATTTAAATTAAATTGAGTTAAAATAAACTCTGTTCCATCTTAAAGCGAAATTTTTTTGGGAATAACGTATTTCTGAAATTTACGTGTTTTAAAAATTGAAATCAAAATTTCCATGGTAACACCTAGGGCGAATTGTTTATATTGGGTAGGCGTGTGTTGGGTGTTAATAATAAGTATCAGTATAGAGTTACTTTCATAGATGTCAGGTCAGGGATAGGTGGCGGTGTCTAAATTTGAAACGGAAGATGTATTAACCCTCGTCTAGTTTGCATGTCTATGGAGATTTATTTAATTTTTTATTTTATTTTTTTTATGAAAGGGATTTGTGCATATAAAAAACTGTCGTACGTTTGTTTTATATTTGTGCTCCGCAGATACCCGCATATAAGCGTGCGCGCGTGCGTGCGTGCGTGCATGTATGCATGGATATATATATATATATATATATAAATAATATTAACTACGAACATGGTCAAGTGTGCGGAAAAATCTACAAACATACACACAACACATACACACAATTATAAAGCAAAAATAAAATCATTCTTGATAATGGCTCAAAGTATAGCCGAAAGCGCTCGGAATTATAGAACATTTGGACAGCCTCTACCCATTTTGTGTCCAGAAAAGGAAACACTTGTTCAAACACAAGTAAAATTAAATAAAAAACTTAATCGGAGTACCTTGTCTGTCGTCTTCAATGAAACATGTATAAATGAAAGATTGCTGCCTAAATACAATATATATATATATATATATATATATATATATATATATATATATATATATGCAAGTGAATATTGAAGTTAACACTTAGCATTAGAGGCGACAGGCTGCTTCATGCTAGCATGAAATAACATTGTCGCCTCTAAGTGTTGACTTTAATGTTCATGTTATATTTACACTTGCTCTATCTGTGATATTGAGCACTTTATCCCATAAAATATAGCAGACCTTAAGAGTATTTCTTCATATATATATATATATATATATATATATATATATATAGAGAGAGAGAGAGAGAGAGAGAGATTAGAATATATATATATATATATATATATATATATATATATATATATATATATATATATATATATATATATATATATATAGCCTTTACTTTTTAATATGTATATAGAAAAAGTTTCAAATTAAAAAATAATTGTGTTCCCAGGTGGATTAAAACGACCGTTTTCCTTGCAAAGAGGGATCCTTAACTTCAAATACTTCCGGAGCTCACATTTTTCTTTGATGAGATTTCTCAAATGGTCACTCCACTTGACGAAATAAAATAGTTTTAATTAGACGTAGCATTTACTCAAATATGGGTGTGCACAAAAAATACTGTTTTAATTACTTAAATATATCGGATTAATAAATTAAAATCCATTATTTCTTTACAATTAATTGATCCGTTGTTATATAGGCGGGTGGATCCTAGTAATAATAATTATTAAAACTGATCCATGGAGAGCTGGATGGTTTTATTTTAACAGAACATATGTATTTTTAACGCCCCCACTAATCTCTAACACAAACCCACTCTCATTGTCAAGGCTCCTCCCAGAGACTGGCTTTGAAAAATACATAAATAAGCATTCCTAAAAAAATTACTCAGTGCCTGACGAAAGCCGTTATGGGACGGTTTGAAATAGTCTATTCCGATGTTGAGGTAATTTTTGTGTTTTTTTTTTTTAATATATATATATATATATATATATATATATATATATATATATATTGATTATATTATGATTTGGTAACCATATGGACAATTCCAAAGCGGATATAGATCCATTGTACTCTCCTTGGAATTATCCCTAGTAATCATCAATTGAGTTTATACATATATATATATATAGGATTTTGGTGAAATAAATTATTGTAATGGTACCTTAAAAGTGGTCTATTTTTCATTATATATATATATATATATATATATATATATATATATATATATATATATGTAGAAAGAGAGAGAGAGAGAGAGAGAGAGAGGTGTGTACACGATGTGATAAAATGTGCAAATGGCGGAAAATTAACATAATACTGACATCTCATTTTTACAAAAATATTTACCAACATTACACAAAAAATATTTATTCATGTATTTATTTTATTCAATAAATTCATCATTGGCTTCACCCACGACCTCCAGACGAATTCGGAATATCCTGTAATTCTTCTTCGCCGTCTCCTTAATTAAGTTGGTGAATGCTGCCTTAAACCTTGTTTTTAATTCATCTCAAATGCCTCCCATGCATAATAATCAAGTGGTTGCCGTCTGGGTAGTTAAGTGGCAAGATGCCAGGTGTAATTTCGTCGTAGAAGATTTCTGTCTGGCATAACTGGGTTCTCTTGCTTATGTGGCATAGTGCAGATACCTTGGAAAAAACACAGGTTCTTCCAGCAGCCACTCTCTTGACCCAGTGCAACATTACCTTCTCAAAGCATTTGATGTAGGATGCACTCACCAACAAATTCGGTAGTTCTTTTCAATCAGAGTGAGTTTTCCGAGATGCTCTGGCTTCGTTGTCACCATTAGACTCGTCAAACCTTTGACAAATCCCTTGCACTGTCCTCAGATTGACACCCAAACACCCTGAAATGTTCTTATTCGGGCTTCCGGTGCGAATTCCAAGTAGTACAGCATGCATTTTCCAAATTTCTGACGGAGTGAATCGCGTTATGGTGCTCTTTTTCTCACAGATGGTGCCTAACTGACTCTACTATAATGTGCAGTGGAAAATATCAAAAACAAACAACGCGCATGTGCGAAATTAACAATATAATATGGCGACAATTTAGCTATTGAACCTTGTACATATATGAAACAGACAATCACCACTTGTTGTTGACTTCAGTTTCAAATCTTATACTTACATCTCCTCTTTCTATGATAATGTATAAAAGTATATAATCCCCTATGGAGGTAAACTGGGATCAAATATGGATGAAACCTTTGAGCCCTCATCCCTGTTTTAACGGTGGTAGAGAAAAATGATGTAATGCCAAGCCACCGTTTGAACAATCCGTAAACACTTGAGTCGTGTTTTGCGATTGGTTGCCTTATTTCAAAGTGCCAATCAGAAAAGCCGTAATATTCTGATGTCATCGAACGTTATACCAACATGTCTGCGCGTTTTCATTTTGTTTTATGTATGTATGTTTTTGATTAAAAAAAAGATCGTTTTCACCATGAAGCGTGCAGAGTCTCAAGCTGGACCGTCAGGAAAACAATAAGGAAGTTATATATTCTGTAACTGTTTATATATCTATCGTGAAACATTGTATACCAATTCTTTGCGAATTTTGATTCAGGAGCTCAGGTAGAAGGGTTAAAATGATTCAAGAACGTAAGTATCAGAGCGTTAAATATGGATTGGAATCCGACAGAATGATACCATAAGGGACACCTAGGAAACGTTTATAAATTTACCATATTTCGCTGTTATTAAAGCTTCGTCATAGAAAAAAATATCGAAGAGAAAAAGAAAATGCTTTATTTTTTTTTATTTTTGTGCTGTTTGTTTTTCATTGGTTAATCTAAATTCCGCATAGGCGTCCAAGAATTACGACACATAATTTATTCAAACATACGCTGCTTGACATGATAGATGCCCGGGAGATTGTAATGATTATTACTTTTCACATTAGATGTCTTCGCTGTAGAACTCTCTTTCGATTTCTTGCTTCCTTGTCACTTACATTCTTTAAAAAATAAATATAACGTCAATTGCCATATTCTGTCTTCCTGGCTTATATTCTATTATTGTCCTTGTTTCTCGGTAAAGTTTTTCAATCTTTTTTCCTTCCAAGAAACATCTTGCGGCTTAGTGGCATTATCGCCTTGCTGGGGGTAAAATTATTTTAAAAAAAACGCATCTGATCCTATCACAATAGTCCGATTAATGTAAATAGTGTATAAAATATATTATTGGTAATATTACTTTAAAAATGCGCTTTAATATTTTCAGGATTTAATTATTTCTCATTTTTCCATAAAAAACTATTTTTCATTATTTTATTTTAGAAATATACTGTTGATTTTTGTTTGGGTGGGGGGTCCCTATTTTCTCATAGCTGGAACCCTAACAGGTGCTGCAACCCTGGATCAAGGTGGACTTTGTAACAGCAGCAATACAGAAACCTCCAGTCTCCCGACCAGAGGCCTTGTTAGTGACTGTAGTTTATCGTCATACACAGGACGAACTGTCTATTTGTAATTTAATGCGCTTTATTTGAACAAATTAGGTGTAAATAATCATCAGTGCCGTTTTATAGCTATCTCTCACTTATATCATTGCCAACTTACGCTGTATTTGTAAGCTTTTATCAATAAAACATTTCACATTGTCCCCCACATTGTATACAAAAATAGCATTTTCCTCAACAGAATTATTAACTGCCATCTTCATAATCTTCAGATGAACATTCGCTAGTGAGAGAAAGAAACGTCAACGATGGCCGCAAAACCATGGCAATTTAAAGAAATGTGTTTTGTAGGATTTCGTTTGTTGGACAGAAGAAGCGAGGCAGGCCGAGAAACGCAGCGTCTGCTGTAATATTCGACTCAATTTTTATAATGAATTTTATATATAATTTGTATTTGTTTATAATAAATTTATCTTAAATCTTTTCTTTCTTTCTTTCTTTCTTTCTTTATATTCTTTTTCTTTCTTTCTTTGTTTTTTCTTTCTGTCTTTTCTTTTTCTTTCTCTTGCAACTTGTTGAAATTTGTTTTAATGCTTTCAGCCCACATTCACATCTTATAGGCAGATTTGTATTCGAGAAGATACCCGTCTACTAGCTAATCCCTTCTGGAGACGCTTGCTCAGGCGCATTTTGTGTTTGTTCAACACCCACAGAGCCCCCCTCTAGGTCTATACTAAAACTACCCTAGTTACTGTTTCTGGAAGAGATCATGTTATCTAGCGTGATCAACAATCGTAACAAGGCCAGCCCGCTCAAACCCTCGGTCACGATGACTTGTAAATTCGTGTTAAAAGGTTTCCGTCTACCCAATTTAAATCACAAGACTTGGGTCAACCCGTGGTATGGTTTTCAGACATTTTCCAAAGATGGCGCACGCTTCCCTAGTCCGATAACATCAAGTCACCTTCCTGACAAATCAAACATGGTGATAACCAAACCCGGGTCATATGAGCGAACATTCTAACCAAGTGCAAATAACCTACTTTATAAGGTTTGAAAATCATCATTTAAGTAACAGACTAATCGATTTAGATAAATTATGAAATAAGTTCTAAACGTTATAATTAAAGCAGTTAAAAGGAAATAAGTTCTGCGTAATTTATTATGAGAAAAAAGAATTACTCTTAATATGATCTTCGTAATGCGATTAAGAAGGAAGGCGATAATGTTAGGAATTAGCATCATTAGAACCTGGTGGTCATTTGGTATGTTTTGGGTGTAAATATTAAATTTGTTGCAATTAAGAACCGAATTAATTTAACAACGATCCTCTGATCATGTTACAAGTTGTTTCTCTTCGTATTTTTCGTCTTTGAAACAATATGGAATTATAGCTTTTCCACGTTCTCACAGACGTGACGTGAATTTCGTTTGCTTTTTCTACAAATATTTTCATGGAAAGTGTTCTGTAGAACTGTTTTCGCTGGGCGCCCGAATAAATAAATATAAGCGTGTTGCTATATTGTCATCTAGGTCCCACCCTTTTACCGTTGAAATAGCCAAATGCAACCACCACTTCTACTCCAACAGTTTCTTTTCTAGCACTTCCCGTCTGTGAATCTCCCTTCCGTTTACTTGCTTCCACTGAATTATAAAAAAAAATACTGAAAAAGACAAATTAGTCAAAAATTGGTGATATTAGTATAAGCAACACTCCATATATATCGTTCACCATCGGATAATATATTTAAAAGGTTCGAAATTTAAAGAAGGAACATTCCATTCTGCTTAAAAGTCTAAACGTTTGGAACATTGATCGAGCCAGTCCTACTATATGGATCAGAAACTTGGACATTATCTGTTCGTCTCGAAAGACGACTGGATGGAACATATACTAATCTACTTAGACATCCATACCTGAAAGACCCTGACTTTGCCGATGATCGTTCTCAATATATCAAGGATACAGAATCCTTGCTGTAATCACTCGAGCAAGCTGCCAAAGTAGCGGGTCTCTATTTCAAGGTAAATAAGATAGAATATATTACATCTTCCTCTGAGAAATCCAAGTTGAAGTCACTCAGTAATACATCCATCAAACGAGTTGAGGACTTAAATTATATTGGATCTCACATAATATATTCTCAAAAAGACTTCAACCTCCACAGATCTCTTGCATGTGCATAACAAACTTCACAACATTTGGTATTCGAACCTTCCATCCTCCTTAAAAGTGCAAATCTTTCCAACATTGATTGAACAAGTCCTACTCTGTCGATCAGAAAATTGTATATCATCTGTTCGTCTTGAACGACCACTGGATGGAACATATACAAATTTAATTAGAAACATCCAGACCATCAGTTAGAGATCCCATGCAAGGCTTAACCCGAAAATTTACGAAGAACTGAGACCAATTTTTGTTCAGCTCAAACAAAAACGATTACGGTTTGCCGGCCACAGCCATCGAGCGGACAGGTAAATCGTCTTATCCTAACTCCTATGCCATCCTTCTAGAAGTGTCTTCTTACTAAAACTGACTTTCCCAGACACCATAGCTCAGGAAAGAAATACAATACCGGACAGTGTGGAAATGGATTGCCAATTGAGTTCTGCCCAACCATAGGGACGTCGAAGGGTGATGATGTTGTTTTGATGATGATGATGATGAAATGATATGAAACAAAAAATGTATTGCTTTATATAACTTTCTTTATCTTTCTCACGTTCTTTTTTGTTTGTTTCATATCATCATCATCATAATCATCATCAAAACATCATCCTCTGACCTCCCAATGGTTGGTCGGAACTCCATTGACAATCTCTTTCTACACTGTTATGATGTCTGGGAATAGTTATATAAAGCAATAAATGAGAGAGAGAGAGAGAGAGAGAGAGAGAGAGAAAGAAAGAGAGAGAGAGAGGAAGTGATATGAGTTTGCCGGCCAGTGCCACAGAGCGGACAGTGATCTCGTCTCGTCTTTACTCCTATGGCATCCTTATGGAAGTATCTTTTCACGAAATGGGCCGGGACTCATAGTTGGACATTGGTGATTTAGGGACAGAAATACCGGACCGAACAGTGTGGAAAGAGATTATCAATGGAGTTCCGACCAACCATTGGGAGGTCAAAGGATGATGATGATGATGTTTTAATGATGATGATGATGATGATGATGAGATATGAAACAAACAAAAAAAAACGAGAGAAAGATAAAGAAAATTATATAAAGCAATAAATGAGAGAGAGAGAGAGAGAGAGAGAGAGAGAGAGAGAGAGAGAGAGAGAAAGTTATATGAGTTTACCGGCCATTACCCCCGAGCAGAAAGAGAAATCGTCTCATCCTTACTCCTACGGCATCCTTATGGAAGTGTCTTCTCATGAAAACTGACTTTTCCAGACACCATAGGACGGGGCGCATAGTTGGACATTGGTGATCTGGGAACAGGAATACAGGACCGAACTGTGTGGAAAGGGATTGTCAGTGGAGTTCTGACCAGCCATAGGGAGGTCGAAGATGATGATGATGATATATTTGCAATCGGTTTTTATTTAACTTGCGGCTATAAAGCGAACTATTTCGAAGAAATATACAGGCGGACATTTCTTGAATGGTTGTCATGAGAAAGAAGAGTAAGAGGAAAGACATTGAAAAACTTATGTCTTTTTGCTGAGTTTCGTTTCTGGATGTAACGCTTTGCTCTGTTCTTACTTCAAAGCAAATGCGAAGTTCACGGCATTGAATGAAGAGATTTTGCATAAATGAGAAGGAAAAGGGGAATAAAGAAATCAAGTCGTGAGATGTTAGACTTTTAGCTCTCGGCATGGCCAGAAGGAACGGCCTGGACATTACGGGTCGTTCTTTCAAAAAGCGAATGTACGGAAAGAAAGAAGTGTAAGATATAGAGGAGGTCAGGTTAAAAAGGTCAGCTTGGATTATTTTGATAAATAGTTGCAGGGTGGAAAACCGATAGATTTTGAGGAAAGAACGCCAGTGTTGAATAAAGATCGGGCTTTTCACCTGCCTCAGGTTGTTCTCCATGTCAGCACTGCTGTACGTCATATTTAAATAGAGAAGGAAAAATAATAAAAAGAGATGTTAGGGGAATTCTTTCTCTGCTTTTTTTTTTCTTTGCAAATATGAAATCCCGATTTTTACTGTCTTTTTCGCTTTTAGTATTTTCATTTTCCTATTGGCTGTTTGGCAGATTGTTTTTATTCGTTGAGTCATTCTCGTTTTTATTCAGCAATTTGTATTGAACTTTTACCAAAAGAGAATTTTCGTTTCTTTCTTTCTTTTTTTCAGGCGTTCATTCTAGCTTCTTCTTCAGCTCTTTACCATTTTATAACTTCCGCTTTCCTTTCTTATCTACTTCCGTTCTTCTATATAACTACATTTCTTATAGTCAGTTTGGTATTTTATTTTGGCGGGGGGGTCTTTCTTTTTCTTCCATATTCCTCCTCTTCTCTCAGGTTACTTTTTCTTTCTTTTTCTCATGATCGTCCTTATATCGTTTTTTTTTTTTTTTTTTTTTTACTTTCCTTCATTTTCCTGCATTCTTTTTCTTTCTTTTTCTTTCCAGTTTGTTTCTTTTCTTCCATTTTTCGCTTGTTTTATTTTTTCGACTTCCTCTTTCAATACTTCTTTTCATTTTTTCCTTTCATGTTTCTACGTCTTTTCTTACTTCCTTTTTTTTTCCTAATTAACACTTAAATTCATTTGCTCTATTTTCAACTTTTTCTCTTTCAAGTCATCTTTCTTTCTAATGTTACTTTCTTTCTTCCTCATGTTTTCTCTTGTTAGCGGTTTTTCTATTCGTTCCTTTTTACTTTTTGTGTTGTTTTTGTCCTTACTCCCATCATTTTTGCTTTTTCAACCGTGTTCATTTAGTTGTCTTCTTTTTTTCCATTTCTCCTGACAACTGTTTCTTGTCCTCCTTTCTTTGTTTCATTCATTCATTCAACACACATTTCATACTAACTTTCATTCACAAGCCTTTTTTTTTTGCTTTATCCTCTTTCATTAATCTTGCTTTTAGTAATTTTTTTATTTTCCTATTGGCTGTTTGATAGGTTGCTTTTATTCGTTGAGTCATTCTCGTTTTTATTCAACAAATTTTAATGTACTTTACCAGAAGAGAATTTTCGTTTCTATCCTTCTTTTTTTCCAGCGTTCATTCTAGCGTCTTCTTTCAATCTTTAACCTTTATAACTTCCTGTTTCTTTTCTCATTTACTTCCGTCTTTCATATATCTTCATTGCTTCTTATCGTCCGTTTGTAATTTTTTCCCTTTTTTTTATCTTCCATCCTCCGCCTCTTATCTCAGGCTAACTCTTCCTTCTTTTTCTCATGATCGTCCTTCTTTTGTTTTTTTTTTTTTTTCTTTTTTACTTTCCTTCATTTTCCGGTATTCTTTTTTCTTTCCACATTTTTGTTTTCTTCCATTTTTTTGCCTGATTTATTTTTTCGACTTCCTCTTTCAATACTTCTTTTCATTTCTTCCTTTCATGTTTCATCGTCTTTTTCTGCTTTCTTTTTTTCTAATTAAATTTTACATTCATTTGCTCTATTTTCCCCTTCCTTCTTCTTTTTGTCATTTAAAACTTCTTCTTTCTATTTTTGTTTCTTCTTCGCTTTCTCCCTTGTTAGCGGTTTTTTATTCGTTCCTTCTTACTTTCTGTGTTTTTTATCCTTCCTCCCATCATTTTTGCTCTTTCAACCATGTTCATTTATTTGTTTCCTTTTTCCTTTCTCCTGACAACTGTTTTTGCCCTCCTTCCTTTGTATCAATCATTCATTCAATATCAATTCAATAATAACTTTTATTCTCAAGCCTTTTTTTCTTTATCCTCTTTCACGAATCTCCTTTTCTTCCCCTTTGATTCACATTCCTTTCTTCTTTATTTTATAATTCCTACTCTTTATATAAAATCATTTGCTTGTCTTTTTTTTCCTTTTTTTCCTTCCACTTTCTTTTATTCATTCTTTCTTTTTTACTTTCTCTTCCTTTTCTCTAGAGTAACTCTTTCTCATCTTCTCATTTATTTTCTCTCGATTTTTTTCTGTGCTATTGTTTCTCTGTCTTTTTTTTTCTCCTTCCTTTCTGTTTTCTTCTTTCCTTTTTTTTAATCCCTTTTAGTTCCTTTATTCTCTCGATTTTTACATCCTTATTTTTCATACCTTCTTTCGCTTGGTTGCTTTTGCTTTCTCTAAATCTTCCGCTATTTAATTTCTCTTTGTTTTCTTGACCTCTTCATTTTATTTCACCTTTTCTTTCTCGTCCATTTTTTCTGTTTCTATCTTCTTTCTCTTGACTGTTGCCCTCAATTACAGATTATTTTTCTTTATTAATTTAATCTTTCCTTTTTTCATTCTCTCCCTTCTTGTTCTTACTTCCTTCCTTTATTAATTCTTTATTTCTTTCTTCGTCTCTGTCTGTCTCTCTTCCGCTTACTCAAGGTTTTAAGATTTTTCTTTCTCTATATTCCTCTTCTCATTTCTTTATTTTTCTTTCATTTTTCTTATTTTTCTCTTTTCTTCCTCTGTATTTCCTTACACTTTTCCTTTTTTCTTCCTTTGTTTCTATTTGTGTATTTATTATCTCTTATCTTTCTTTAACCTCCCTATACACGAAGATTTCTTTTCATTTGGCCTTCCTTTGTTTTTCTCTTCCTACTCTCTCACGTTTCTATACATTTTTTTCCTTCTTTGGTATTCTTTCTTTTCTATTTGCTTCCTTCTATTCAGTGCTTTACTTTCCTCTTTCCTTTTCACTTTTTTTCTTTCATTTTCTTCCCCCTTTTTCCTTCATTACTTCTCTTGCAACTCTCCCTTTCTTTAAGATATTTTTCTTTCCTCTTTCTTCCTGTACCCTTTCATTCTCTTGTTTCAATATCGCCTTTTTTTACCAACTTGTTTGTTTATTTGTTTCTTTATTTATTCATTTATTGCTTCCTTTCTTTTGTTTTCTTTTTCTTATTAATTCTCAGCCATTTTCTCATGTTTCCTTCCTTTACGTTTCTTGTATTTTTCTTTCTTTTTCTAATTGTCTTTAATCTTTTCTTACATTTATGAACTGCCTACTGAAATGTTTATTTTCTTTTACTGTATCACTGATCCTGCAACCAATTTTTTTTCTTTTCTTTTGTATAATCCGAGATTCCACCCCGGCTCTCCATTCTTCGGAGTTTTCATCACTTCCAAACTTTCTTCGCAGCAAACAAACGCACACGCCCTTACACCCAGACGTATCTATTTTTGAATTCCCTGCATCAAATAATGATGTCTTGACGAGGGAAGGTCATAGGTCAGCAGTTACGTACATCAAATCCGTGGTCCTGTCAGAAATCCTGCATATCGGTTCGGACATTTGCGGGCGTCCGTTATCTCTTGACTCCCATTAACTAAATATGGTAATAGAGACCGTGCCTCGGAATGAGAGTTGGAATGGGGGAGAGAAAGATGTAATGATAAGGGGAGGAAGTAAAGTTATGTGCGTTAGGGATAAAATGTCGGATAAAATATAATAAAAAAAATGAAGAATTGCCTTGTACATGTTAGAGAGAAGCAGAATAGATATTTGGGATTGACGAGAATAAAAAAAGAAATTATGTCTGTGTGTGTGCAAAATGAGAAAGATTGGAAAAGAGATAGAGAAAGAAAGGAATATAAAAAATAGAAGGAAAGACAGACACGGATGAAGATGAAAAAATCTTATAATAAAATATAAAATATGCAAGATAAAGATTTTCCTATTTAAGGAAATAATAATCGATGTGTCAGACTGACGAGAATAAAAAAATTAGTAATTAATAACGTCTGTTAAAAATGCGAAAAATATTTAAAAAGCAATATCGAAAGAAATATAAAAAAATAGACGGAAAGACGAAAATAAACTAATAATTCTTCCATATAACAATTATCAATGTGTATGTAGTCATATATTTCCTATGTATTTATTTTCATATTTACTATCCTGTCAGTAGTGAGAAGGGAGGTAAATCAAGTAAAGTTAGTAAATTTATGAGTGATTAATTCCCTTGGTCGTTTTAATAATCTATACAAATAAACTTGTAGAGTTAAAGTTATGATCAATTCCTTCATTCTCGCTGACGTAATGTAGCTTCAATCTCTCTTTTTAACGGATATTTTTATGGAATCTGCTCTGCCGAGCTATTTTTAATGGTACCCCGACTGCCGAAATAAAGACATCTGCAAGAGGCATTGCACGTGGAACAAAAATAATCCACCCCTATGGGGGAAATAAAAGATTCAGTTCGAAATTCCAATCGCCTGAAGAATGCCGTAGTGTAAAACGGCCGAAACTTTGTGAATATGGCAATGAAGATGAGGATAACAGTCCGAATAATGTAAATAATTCAAGTAAATAAAAGATTTATCGGCATTTAGACAAATTAATTCCCGAGCAAAATGAACCGTTTAATTAATTTACTTTTACGACTACGTTTCTGAGATTGCAGTTTTATTTGGTCAAGCGTTTCATGTGAGGCACTCAGGTAACTTTGTCTATTAAGTATCGTCTTGCTTCAACTTTGTCTTGAAATCGAATTTGTCGTCGCTGTCTTTTTCGTTCTGTTTCTAATCTTAATCTATCGAGAGATATTTCCATTTCACTGTTCTATTAAATACTTAACATTCTTAACATTAAAATATATTGATCAAAAAGCAATTTATACGAGGAGTAATCAATGAATCATCGATAGCATTGAAGGTCTAAAAATGTAAAGAGACGGATTAATTAAACGGTCCCTTGACTTCTATTTTATTTGTGATTTTTTTTTTTCTCCGCTTTATTTAATCTTCATGTAGTGTTTCATGACTTTTGTTTCATGATACCTCACTATCACAACTTCCTAACAATTTCCATCATCTTTGACAGCACAGGTACACCAGTAAATATACAACGTGAAAGATAGAGATATTCGTATTAGAGAGAAGAATAAAAATATGAGCGAATGAGGAGGGAAAAAAAGAGAAAGTAAGGACTGTAAAAAAGGAGAATTAAGAAAAAAAAAAGAAAGATAAAGAAATATAAATGGAAGGAAAGTCGGACAGTGTTAGCGAAAAAAATCATAAAAAAATATATAAAGTGAAAGATAGAGATGTTCGTATTAGAGAAAAATAATGTTTGAGAGTGATGAAAAGAAATGAAGTAGGAAAGAGTGTGGAATTGAGTGAGATTAAAAAGAGAGATGATGATGATGAAGAAGAAGAAGAAGAAGAAGAAAAAAGAAGGAGATGATGAAAAAAAGAAGAAGAAAAAGAAAAAGCAAAACAAGAAAAAGAAGAAGAAAAAGAAGAAAACGGAAAAGAAGAAGAAGAAGAAAAAGAAGAAGAAAAATGAAAAGAAGAAAAAGAAGAAAAAGTAGAAGAAAAAGAAGAGGAAAGAAGAAAAAGGAAAATAAGAAGAAAAAGAAAAAGAAAAAGAAGGAGAAGAATAAAAAGAAGAAAAAAGAAAAAGAAGAAAAAGTAGAAGAAAAAGAAAAAGAAGAAGAATAAAAAAGAAGAAAAAGGAGGAGAAGAAGAAGAAGAAAAAAAGAAAAAATATGAAAAAGAAGAAAATGATGGGCAGTAGGTGTTAATGATTGAAAAAGTAAGCAAAATATTAAAAGTAAAAGAGAGAAGAATGATAAATGATGAAGAGAAAGCAAATGCAGGAAGTGAGATTGTGAAAATCACAGAGATTAAAAAAAAGGAAGGAAAAAGGTAACACATGACGCCTGCGTAAGGATACAAATAAAAATAAAAAATGAAATTAAAAAAATTTAAAAATATAAAAACATAAAAAATATAAAAATAAAGTAAATAAATAAAAATAAAAAAACTAATAATAAAACAATAATAAAAATAAAAATATAAAAAATATAAAAACAAAAAATATATAAAAAAATATAAATAAATAAAAGTAAGAAATAAACAGAAATTAAAAATAAAAATAAAATAAAGAAAAATATTTAAAAGACGGAAATACAGCGATATTGGCAGAATCGGATTATCCTTTAGGCTAAAATAGGCTTCATCTTAAGACCTTTCAAGCTTAGATAAAGCAATGTTTTCTTTTTTTTCTAGATGTTTTAACTTCTAAAAATCTTATAAACTGAAAGTATATCAATAAAACAAACACATATTTATTTGAATTTTCGGGAAGTAAAGCAAATAAAAAAATGTTTTAGTTTGCATCATTGTGTTTCGACTACATATCATATTTGGATTTTGTTCAGTATGTTTAAATCTTAAAAATTTAGATAAAAGAATGAGTAAAAATTTTCTAGATGTTATAACTTTTAAATAGAAACAGAAATTACACTAATATGGTATGAAAAACTAAAATTTATTTTGATTGTTTTATTATGATGCTTGTTTTAAAACCAGTTTTGTTTTTATTATATTTGCGTTGAAATAGGTTCTAATTTGCTTTGTAATAATTAGTAAATTAGTTGTATTTCTTAAAGAATAATATTATTGACAAACTAAATATACTATTATAATTAATTTAAAGAATTTGCAATAAGTTTCCTTCAAGCTATGTAAATGTCACTAAAATGTATCATGAGTTAGAAGGTGGCTTTTTCTGACGGGTCATGATTTTATTACCCTAGGGTCCTCAAATGATCGTAATCTGTCCTTGCTAATGATAATGGGGGCAATTGTATATTCTGGCAAATTTAGTCCGGTGGTAAGAAATTACAAAATCTCCCAGTGGAGGTAGGAGAGAAAAGAACAAAGCATAAACTATATGAAGCCAAATGCATAGTGATCTGTAAGATCATCGCGAAATGTGATTTCCAGGTCGGGAACACTAGAATAAAGCAGACGCAGAATTTTAAATATCTGGAAAGCGTTTTGATAGAGGATGTTAACTGCGACACTGAGATCCATAGACGTATCGGGATGGCCAAGGACGAATTCCAAAATCTGGGCAGAGTATTGTGAGGCAGAAGGATTACTTTGGTAACAAAGAAAAGAATACTGAGATTTTACGTGACATCTGTCCTTTATTGCAACGAATGTTGGACGATTTGCTCAAAGATGAAGAAGAGACTCAAACCGACAGAAGGATGCTAAGGATATCATGGACCGAGCGCGTGAGCAACGATGAGAACATTGGGATGATTATAAGGAGGAGGCTTATACTTAACATCAGGACACACAATGAGGACGGAGGGCCTGGAGAATCTGATACTCAGGGGTTGATTAAAGTGAAAGACAGACCAGGGAAAACAACGCATGATATACGTAGCGGGCTTAAGTAAGTGGTTGACGGAATGTTCTTTGGGGGAGGTAGAAGAGGGAAGGAACTTGTTGAGAGTTGCAAGGAATAGAGAGACGTGGAGAGACATGATCGCCTACGTCATGAAAGGACATGGCACATAAAAAGAAAAAAAATGTCTGAGTAATACTTAAGCTTGTCAATTTATTTGTCCTTGATATTATGGTCAGCCGGAGATACCACGTCGATGAGGAGACATTTTCTTGCTTTGATTTTTAATTTTTTTTTCTAGATAAATGACAATGGCTTCTGGTTTGGCGCCCTCGCGGAGGCAATCTTGTCTTGGACGTTTTCGATCACCTTCTCTGGCTTGTGACAGTACCATTTTTTATCGACTTCACGTTTGCACTTCGTCTATTGAAAAATATTCAAGGCGGGTGCAAGCGAGTTAAAATATGGCTCCGTCTGAGACGGTTTCAGTCATAATTTCATTAGCCTATTGACCCCAAATGGTCATAATCCTTTCCCTGGATATTAGGTATTAGAGAGAATAATCTTGTGCGAGGTCCGGGTCTGAAATAGCGAAAGCGGGAATGGTGTGTCAAAATACGAGGAACAGTTTAAAAGAGAGAGACAAAACAGGATAGAAAGAAATCATAATATTCAGGGAGGAAATAACGGCGTTAACAATAAAGAATATAAATAAATATCAGGGAAAAGAATATTCAATGGTATGACGGATTAGGAGAAAACTAAGCAATAAAAGGGAGACTAAGAAAGAAAGAAAGAAAGAAAGAAAGAAAGAAAGAAAGAAAGAGAGAGAGAGAAAAGAAAGGGAAAAGAAAGGGAAAAGAAAGAAAGAAAAAAAGAAGAGAAAGAAAGAAAAGAAAAGAAAGAAAGAAAAAGAAAAGAAGAAAGAAAAAGAAAAAAGAAAAAATGCAGAAGAAAGAAAAAAAGAAAGAAAGATAGAAAAAAAAGAAAAACATAAAAGAAAAGAAGAAAGAAAATGAAAAAGAAAAGAAAGACCGAAAGAAGAAAGAAAAAGAAAAGAAAGAAAATGAATATAAAGAAAGCAAAAGAAAGAAAACAAAAGTAAAACAAAAGAAAAATGAAAGAAAAAGAAAAGAACGACAGGAAGAAGATCGAAAAAGAAAAAAGCGAAAAGAAGAAAGAAAAAGTAAAGAAAGAAAAAGTAAAGAAAGAAAGAAAAACGACAAAAAAAGAAGAAAGAGAAAGGAAAAGAAAAGATAGAAAGAAAGAAAGAAAGAAAGAAAGAAAGAAAGAAAGAAAGAAAAATATAAAGAAACCAAAAGAAAGAAAGAAGGAAAGAAAGAAAGAAAAAAAAAAAAGGAAAAGAAGAATAGAAAGAAAAATGAAAATGAAAACAAAGAAAAAAATGAAAAGAAAGCGAAAAGAAGAAAGAAAAACGACAAACGAAAAGAAGGAAATAAAAAAAGAATGAAAGAAAGAGAAAAGAAAAAGAAATAAGAAAGAGAAAAGAAAGAAAGAAAAAAGAAAGAACTCTATTAAGGGAGGAAATAACAAATACACACTTAAGGAGAAAACAAATAATAAGAAAATATTAAAGAAGGATAAGGATATTCGTGTTAGTGAGATAAGAAATGGATTTGTATGACTGACGAGGACAAGCAAAACAATAAAAAAGTGTGGAGAAGTCAGAGTGAAATTAAGAGAGATTTATTACTTATTTTGTATTCTACTTTATTTCAAATAAAAGTAGATAGATTCGCCTATCGTCCGATTCACTCTTCCTCACTGTCTTTTGAACAGGAGTACAGGTTGATCCCCTGTTCCCCTGCCCTCTTTAGGATTGCGTTTCCGGTTCCTTCTAAAGTCTTTCCATTCTCTTCCACTCCAAGTGGACCCTTGTGTCAATTGATTAAAAAATGTAAAGATAAAGAAATTAGCAAAGGAAGCTTGGAGATTTTACATAGTGTATCTGGTTCAGCAAATTAGCAGCTCTGATAGCCCTGAGAAACCTGAGTCAGGTTAATACTGATTATCCCCAATCAGTATTAATCCTACTCTTGTGGAAATAAAGAAGAGAAAAAAAATGATGAAATCAGTATGAGCCATACAATACCTGAAACTCAATTCAAACAATAACGTTTTCGATTGTTTGAACGAGTATTGAAAGGTTATTAACTTTTCAGAAAATTCTAGAATTGTCCGTGGAAAAAAAATACAAAAAATCATTTAACCTTTTCCCCACCAATTATTTTGGGAAAAACCTTTGTTTTTCTGATCATTCTTTTGTTTGTATTTTAATATCGTATTTTCCGTGATGATTATGTAAAATTAATTGCATTTCATTTGTTTTTTCCATTTTCATGGTTGAAATCATATTTTGAAAAATACATTTGTCAGCAATGACGTTTAAACCTGACTCCTCATATTTTTTTATATAATTTAATTACCGTATTCATTCTCTCCCTCTTGATATAGATATTTGGGGTGTAATTTGTAAAAAAAAACCCGTAAAAACAAGGGAGAGTGTGGAAGCAAAATAAATGCACCTGTCTATATTCAGGAGGAATAAGAAACTGAGGTACCTTGAAGTACCCGAATGGTACCTAACATATCTACCTGATGTATGGATTGTCAGCTGAACTAAGAATCCCGATCGACGTATAAACACGCCACTAGCTGCTTTTTTTGTAGGGATTAACAAAGTTTGACTAAACTTTACACAAATGTGTTTTCGTTATACAGTGCTTGCTCAGTTTCTTTGAGCTTGTATTACACTAGGTGTTTTAAAAATATTTTTTAGAATATGATAATGGAAATAGTGCATTATTAAGTGGGATACTCTGCATAGGCGTCTTCCGTTATATCTGCGCCAATTATTTAAGGAAAATGTCTCATTTTCAAACATAGTTTTTTATTTGTTTTTAATAAAGTAAATAAAAATCTGAGGTACCTTGAAGTACCCGAGTAGTGGCTAACATCTCTACCAGAGGTATTTGACAACTACACTCGTGTCCAGCTCAGAATTGCATAAGAAGATTCAAAAATTGACGTATCAACACGTCTGTAGTTGGTTTTGTACAATTTATTAGGGACGTGTTTATTCGTCCTCTCTGAAAAAGACGCTTTCGTTAAAAAGTATACACATCTACGCCGGCGAAAGAGATACTATTTCAGTCGATTATTGTAGACAGATTACAACCACATGAATTCACTATTGGGAACAAATTCGGTGTTTCAAAATAGACTTTTGGTTTGAAAATCCCTGCAGTGTAAATTTTGGGAATTATATATTTCACAGCTGGATGTCCACTCCTATTTGAAAGTCCCTCATAGTTCTAACGTCTATTTCCACAGGAAAAATATCTTCCGTTTCGACAGGCACTTCGAAAATCGAAAATCGGCTTGGGGCCATGAATCGTTGTCAGTTTACAAAATCCCTTTCTCTTCGACAAACCCTTCGATCGAAAAGAAAAGTCGGTATATATTTGATCCCAGTGACCTCATGTTGCGGTTGTTCTGTCCGGTCGGACTCGCTTGCGCTTATGGTCGGAGAATCAAGGCAAACAAAACCCTCCCTCGAGGCTTATTCAATGTAGGGAGTAAAAGATGATAACAAACAAGGTAAGTAGCAACGTTGCTTTACGTGTCCATACAAAGATCAAAGATTGACTCTTCAGGTTTTAAGTTAGGATATTAAACTTTATTTGTATTGGGCAAGAACAAATCACAGAGTTTAGGTAGAGAGAGGGAGAAAAAGAGAGAAAAAGAGACAGTGTGAGATTTCCATTTCCGTTGCCTATTTCCCGAACAGCAAGAGACAAACTTGGAAAATATAACAGGTAAGAAGAAACATTTTCCCTGTAGGTCAACAGGTAATGTTTAATTAATGTTCTTTTAAGAACACCCGATAAAATATGAGACTATATCATGCGTAAAATAATTATTTCAAGACTCAAATTAACCTCAGGTTAATCGGATATAGGTTTTCATGCTTTTCATGGAATGATTGTTCCGAGGAGGATCTGATGGGCCCCATCTCTGAGCTAATAGGGTCTGACTTTACATAGCATCTTATCGGGGTTGACGTCTGTGTATTTCCCAAATTCAGTTTGTTTCTATCCCTTATATATAGAAACCCTATATTTTTCATCATTTTTATTTCCCTCCCCACAAAGCTTCGGCCGTGTATTCTACGAGCTTTTTAGAAATCTCTCCCACACTCTCCGCTCAAACGACTGTGTATTTCCCAAATTCAGTTTGTTTCAATCCCTTATATATACAAACCCTATAATTTTCATCATTTTTATTTCCCTCTCCACAAAGCTTCGGCCGTGTATTCTACGAGCTTTTTAGAAATATCTCCCACACTCTCCGCTCAAACAACTCAAACAGTAAACAAAGTACAGTGTTTATTATATTCTGGGGTAATTAAGAAGGAAGAAACAAGTGAGGGTATTTTTCAGGAGGGGTTTCAGACATATTGTGATATCCTAACTAATTGCATAATTCCCTCTCCAAGTCAATGTGTTCTGAATGGTATTGTAAATATACATGTCTATGCATCAGTTACAATGCAAATCCATAGACAGAGGTATCCGAGGTGTTTTTTATTTATCAACAAATTTGAGTTTTCTGTCTGGGCGTGTGAGCAACGATGTGGTCTTAGAGGTTGCAAACAAAGAGAAGGCAGCTGAAGTTTCTAGGACATATATTGAGAAAAGAGGGCTTGGAGATGGAGAATTTGATACTCACAGGTCAAATAGAGAGAAAGCGAGACAATGGGAAGCATCGCGTGACATACCCGACGAGCATGAGCAGGTGGATGACAGAACGTGGTCTGGGGGATGAAGCAGAGGGAAGGAACTTGTTGAGAGCTGCAATGGATAGAGGGTGATGGAGAGCCATGATCGCCTACGTCGTGAAAGGACATGACACATAAAAAGAAAAGAAAGTTGTCTACAGCCAATGATTGCGTGAATACACTATTACTACACTACACAATAGAGGCAGCTGAATTTTCTTGGACACATAATGAGGAAGGAGGCTCTGGAGAATCAGATACTCACAGGTCAAATAGAGATAAAGCGAGACAATGGAAAGCATTGCGTGACATACCCGACGAGCATGAGCAGGTGGATGACAGAATGTGGTCAGGAGGGATGCAGAGGGAAGGAACTTGCTGAGAGATGCAAGTGATAGAGAGAGGTGGAGAGCCATGACCGCCTATGTCGTGAAATGACATGTGACATAAAAAGAAAGTCTTGACTTGATGGCTTCGTTTGTTTTGTTTCACGGCGTATTAACCTGAATTGGTTATTTAATGCCGACAAAATCTTTATTGCTGTTTTTTTTTTTTTTTTCTTAAATGTATTGCTGCTAATATTTTTTCCTTCTAAAATCTATTTCTGGTAGCATATTTTCTTCAAAAATCAATCGCAGATAATTTTTTTTTTCCAAAATGGTTTGATTTGTTTTGTTTTACGGCGTATCAAGCTCAACAGGTTATTTTATGACGACAAAATTTTTATTGCTGGTAATATTTTCTTTTCCAAAAATGTATTGCTGGTAATATTTTCTTTTCCAAAAAATGTATAGCAGGTAATATTTTTTAGAAAATAAGAGGTGTGTTCCACGCTCCTCATCACCTCCCTATCAAAGACCTTGATGTCGGACGTAGTTTATTTTTTACCCAGGACGCGAATGTAGTTTATCGTCATACTCCGGACGGTTTGATGTCTTTGAGGCGAATCAACTGGGCGTCCTATGTCTTTTGACATTTTATGGTGATATCAATTTCAATACTTATTTAAGCACCTATTTTAGATTAACACAATTTATAATGGAGTCAAATAGATCAACTCTACTTAGATCATGACACCTGGGGAAAATTAAATTCTATTCAGAATGACCAAGCAAGTATATTCCTGTTCCATACCTAAATCATTTAACACCAACTATCATATATATTTGACTCCTGGTGATTTCTAAATTTCCTTAAATCTAATGGTAATACTAGTTATGCCCTTATGAGCAAACATTCGGCTTTCTTTATCTAATCGTCCAGTTCTGCTGTCGGTTGAAATTTATAAAATCTTTCTCTTAAAACAATTTTTCAGTAAAATAGGTTTCTCATCTCCAACAGCTGTTGTCAAATTTGTCAGCACTGACGAAGGTTTCCTTCCTAATATATGTTTGAAATAGTGCGGAACGTCAGCATCTTGATCCGTCCTGGATATGACGATACACTACATCCGCATCCTGGGTATGACGATGAACTACATCCGCAGCTTGGGTATGACGATGAACTACATCTGCGTCCTGGGTAAGACGATAAAATACATCCGCCTCCTGGGTAAGACGATAAACTACATCCGCGTCCTGGGTATGACGATAAACTACATCCGCGTCCTGGGTATGACGATGAACTACATCCGCCTCCTGGGTAAGACGATAAACTACATCCGCGTCCTTGGTATGACGATAAACTACATCTGCGTCCTGGGTAAGACGACAAACTACATCCGCGTCCTGGGTATGACGATAAACTACATCCGCGTCCTGGGTAAGACGATAAACTACGTCCAGCAGCAAGGATCAAGAGGTTTCGCGGAGAGTGGAAGCACATCTTAATTGCTGGTGTTCCCAGCTCCATCCTGATCCGGGGTGGTAGAAACTGTTAGGGTTCCAGCTATGGGCAAATTGTTAACCCCGAAATTGGGGTAAAACATTATGAAAGTGTAAAAATAGGTTTTAATACCAGAATTACTTTGTAAAAAAGTATTACCAGCAATACATTTTTGAAAAAAAAATATTACCAGCAATGAATTTTTGAGAAAAAAAATTACCAACTATAGATTTTTCAGGAAAAAAATATTACCAGCTATACATTTTTGAGGAAAAAAATTTTTACTAGCTGTACATTTTTGAGGAAAAAAAATTACCAGCAATATATTTTTGAATGAAAAATATTACCAGAAATAGATTTTTGTCAAAACAAAATATTACCAGGAAAAAAAAAATTGTAGGCATTAAATAACCCATTGAGGTTGATATACCGTAAAACAAAACAAACCAACAAAATCCAAGTCTTGATGATGTCATTTTCT